ATTCAGCGTATGCGTCTTCGGCTTACTCGGAATGTACCGCAAAGTATCCGCTCACTCTCGACCGCTCACTCTCGAAGAGAGATAATGCCTCAGAGGCACAGGGAGGAAGAACTACAGAAAAGCACCAAAGGCAACAGCCAGGCAGTGAGGCGGCACCAAATTCTTCCCCAAGCTCCGCGATCCACTATATATTAAGGTGTCATTGGAAAACTCATGAGTTGTTTATACATATGGGAGGAAACCGGAGCACCCAGAGAAAATGCACGCGTGTGAGAGGGTTACACTCGATCCTATATAAACAGGACAGGTGGAGTCCACATATTTGGGCTACTGCCCTCTCCTGGCAAGCAAGGGTATGCCTTCTCGATGTCCACGGGGAATGAAATTTCACAAAATTCGTGTGATCCACCCACTCTTGCTGCCTCCACAGTGCTGGATTACAGGTGTCCATAGACACCACTATCAGACTCATGCGCTTTTGAGTACCCAGGGAAAAATCTCAAATATGGGTAGGGGGGTGATAACTAAAAAATCCGCACATTAAATTCACAAACCCATTCGCTGTCCTGTCAGCTCTTGGCCACCTCACAACCCCAGTGAGTCTCCGAGTCTTACAAATCATAAGCGTGCTCCACCACGCCTGGCTAAATGTGCACAAATGGTTCGCGCACAAAATCTACATGGAGCGGACTTAGCGAGTTCACGGTGTGCTAGGGTCGTGAGACCAGCGGACTGTGAAGAGTGACGAGGATTGCAATGCAGGGGTACGACGAAGAAGGGAACTGTTGTATCAACTGGCTCTCCTCGATAGTGGGGTGCAAGATGTATGCATGTTAAACTTCTTTATAGCACCGTACGTAGGCCACCGTGCTAATCGGAGGTGCGGGGGAAGGACAACAAACTAAACACAAAAAGCAGTTCTAAAGAAATTTGTTTTCAATCTAGCACGTAAGACTGTTGACGCGAGGTCAACACATACATGACCCCTTATATTTTATAATCATAACGTAGAACGTTTAACGCGAAACACTTTTCCTTTAAATATAAGATAAGATTTTCACATGAAACAAAGTGATGGGAAATGCATTATTTACCAAGGTCTCATTACCATAATGTTACAAATATCAGCGTACATATAACATGTAATTACGGAGGTCAGTTTAAGGTCACACTAAGTTGGGAGCACATTTGAGACAGGAAGTTGCCAGAATATTTATTCTTAACATACAGAGAGGCAAGTTATTTTCCCAGAGCTTTGGGATGTTGCTCTGGAAGGATTCGGGCAGTGGTCCGAAAAGACAAGCAAAGTCTTTCAGAGGGGTGCAGGCAGTAGCATGGATACAGTGCAGGATAAATTACTGATAGATTACTGATGAACCACCTGTGGAGTTTTATCAGATTGACATCCTAACACTTTCAGCTCTGTATGCAGCCAATGCCGCTATTGTGTGTAACATAATATCAAGACATTAGAATAATGCTCGCAGCAGCTGCAACCGTTTTAAGTTTAATCCTATAATTTTTGGCTCCTGACCATATCTGCCTCCAGGCAAATAACTGCCAGTGCGAGAGGCGCCTACTTCCAAAAGTTAACAGTTACGTTCCAAGAATGATTCTAGTTTTCGTGACTGCAAGGATCCATACTCTTTGGTTCTTTCGGTAAAGTCACGTAGATGAAAATAAAAATAATTAAGTTATTTTCATTTTATTATTTTCATTCTTTTTAATTTTCATCTACGTGATTTTACCGAAAGAACCAAAGTGTATGGTTCCAAGAATGGTTTGGTATTTTATTTTCAAGCTAGGATAAGTGGACATTAAATGATGCTTAATATTGATTTATAAGTACATGGAATTGCGATTAACCCGTCGTAAGATGGGATGACGGCCAGTGGTCTAAACATTTTTTTTCCAGGAAAGGCCCAATAAGCTATGTAGCCCTTTTTCAAAAGCAACCTGGCCACAAAGGGTAGCTCAACCAAGTGGCTTATCGTGTGAAAATTTATAGCAGCCAAATACTCTAAAAGCATGTTTCTAAATGTGCAGGGGAAAAACCGGAAGACCCGGAGAAAAATCCACGCAACTACGGGGAGAACAAGCAAACTCCAAATATACAGCAGGCGTCATTGGTTGGGGTCGAACCCACGACCTCCTCTGTACGAGGCAAGGGCGTTAACACTTCGCCACCGTGGCACCCCGAGAGATTTTCCTCACCAGTTTTTAGATCTATACGTTCAAGATCCACATGCATGCCAAAATATGTTTTTAAAATTGAGTGGGGCTCGGGGCAGCGTCCAGATCGAGGGATCTCCACACCACAGAAGTTGAGAATCCCAGGATTAGAGCAGGCGTTAAGTGTTTAAAGCCAATACATGTTTTTCATGCGTCAATACATGTTTGCTATGTATGTGTCAATGGACAAACCCTTGCAAACGAGATGCTCCAACGCAAGGGATTTCCAGGTGATTTTTTTTACTCGTAAATTCAGCAGCTTCAGAAA